GAGAACAGAAAAAAGAGAAAAAAATAATTAACAAAGTAATTCAAGAAAATGTCCCACAACTGAAGAACACAGATTTCCAGATTAATTTCTGGTACAGTGGAGTAAATTTGACCCATACCAAGGATATAATGAAATTTCACAGAACCCTGGAGACAAAGGGAAGAGCCTACAAACTTTCACAGAAAGAAAAAAGTCACCTACGAAGGATCAGGATCAAATTGGCATTGGACTTCTTAGCAACACTGGAAATTCAAAATTCTAAGGGAAAATCATTTCCAGTGTATAATTTCTCAACCAGCCAATCTATCCAACAAGTATGAAGGCAGAGACTTTCAGATATGTAGGGCTCCCCAAAATTTACCTCCCATACACCCTTTCTCAGGAAGTTACTGATAGATGTATTCAACCAAAACAAGGTAGAAAGCCAAGAAAAAGGAAGTCGTGTGATACAGAAATAAAATATCTAATATGGGAGAGGGGTAAAGAAAACCTTCAGTGTAGCAGTGAATGGCAATCCCAAAATGATTGTTGTATACAGGCATAAAGGATGACTTCTTCAATTTAGAACATGTGTGCTGCAGGTGTGATGGCCTACTGCTTTTAAACCATCTTTTTAACTTGAGAAACAACTAGAGGTTATGCTTTGTCAAATCAAGGGGGTATATAAAAGGAAGATGAGTGACCCAGGAAACAGAGATTCCAACTCAAAAGAAAGCCAAGGGGAATTTCTCTGATTATAGTAAAGAAAAGTCACTGATGATCAACTATGCAGTAAGGCTAGGAAAAAAACAGTCCAAACAGGAGAGGAATGGGAGTGATCAAGGAAAAAAACAAACAAACCTGAAACTGATGGATTACATAATATGATGGACCTTGTGGGAAATTGTTCTGAAAGGCTATGAGGAGATATGGAAATAGTTAACTAATAGGTACAAAGAAAACTAGGCAAGTGGAAAAGCAAGATGATTATTAACTTCAGGAAAATCAAGAAGAAAGGAAAGGCAAAACAAACAAAAGCTAACACCTTCCAGCTGAGTTAGATTCTCAAAGAACCACACAACTGTATGCTTATATCTCATTGGCCAGAACTTAATGTTGTGGCTCCATATAGCTGTAAAGAAGACTGGAAAATGGGATCTTTTCTTTTCAGATACCAATGTACTCCTCTGAAAATTGATCTTTTGTTATTGAGGAGGAAAGCTAGAATGAATTTTGGGGTAGATAATTAAGTGTCTGTCACTGACGGTCACTTTCATCAATAATACATGTCACAATGAACACACAGCTGACAGAAACCTTTATGTACTAAATAACATAGCACCAAAACACATAAAGCAAAAAATGCAGGAAACACAATAAAAATTAATGGCACAAGATATTCAAATTATGTTAATATATTTAAAGACAGGGGAAAGGGATGATTTTCTAGGAAGAGACCAATTGCACAAGAAAAGAGAGAAATTCAAATTGATCAAACACCATGAACGAAATCAATCAAATTGTTAACAAGCTACCTCTGCCCCAAAGTGCCAGATCCAAAAAATAGTTACTGCTGGAGTTTTAAACTCTCTCAGATATGGAGGAAGAAAGAAAATCTATGAAATTATCATATCACTGATACTAAAGT